CATTCTCATTAGATTTGATGAATTTAACCCTTGATTTTTCCTTTTCTATATTTCTTCTTCAAGTGAGTGGTATGATTGCATCCTAATTAATTATCGCAAATGGTCTTAAGGCATAAAATTTAACTAGTAAAAATTCTATGTAATTGTATGCCAGTATTGAAAGAAACAATTTGATTCGAAAAGGCTGCGACTTGTGTTGAAAATGATGGGTAAAAGGTAACCAGGGAAGCTATTCCGTTTTGTATCAGTTGCACCATTATTGCCAACTTTATCGTTTGCGCCGGCAAAAGGGAAAATTACCAAAATATTTTGGTCAAATGTGTATATTTATTGTATTATTTAACTTTACGTTTCCAGCACCCTTATTTTATAGTGAATACAAATGTGGTTTTAGATAAATCCCTCTTTCTGGAATATATATTCAACTGCCTTTTAATATTAATTTTAAGTTTATATATTAGGCATTTTATTATGTTAAATACCTTGCCGAATTCAATAAAAAAAAAATGCAAACTTCTCTAGAATCTTGCCCAATTTTCTATAAACTAGGTCAAAATTCTACAGAAGTTTAGATATATGGTCTATAGATATTAGTGAAGAGATTCTATAAAAATTTGTACACCTTGCAAAGAAAAAGGGACAGTTCTATATCTGCTGTTCTACTGGACTGGCTGTCAAAATTCAACTTGTGTTTTCCATGTCTTGAAATCACGACTTTGGTTATACATTAGATTTAACATACATAGGTATTTTGACAGAAAATCACACTTTTCCTGATACAACATACCAATGTTTTTCCATATTTCGATTCTAAGACTCAGATTATGCCTAGATACAGTCAAAAGTCGTTAATTCGGACACCCGTAATCCGGAATGATCTATAATCCGGACCTCAAAGCTAAAATATTTCTGCGCATGCGCATAGGCGTTTTACTCGTGCGCGCAAAACATTTACGACTGCGCATATGCATCTGCGCAAGTGCAGAATACGTTTTCGCGTGCGCGTTTAATGTATAACGGACGGATAAGCTAAAAATTATCTAATTATCTATTTCAGTTAATGTTGATAATTGCGTTGTTCCTTAATCTTCAAATTGGATCCGGCTTATTATTTTTTTGCAGACTGTAAGAGCAATTTTCTAAAAGTAAGCTTGAACTTTCGATTATGTCAAATAGAATTTTTCCGATGCTGGAGTCCGAAAGGATCTAGAAAACGAAAGTATGGGTTTCGATGTCCATCAAAAAAAAACGAATTGCTACAAAAAATGGGATAAAAGCATATCCTTTGTTTATCTAACCGTTCCGAAATCTGTTTATATCAATTTCACGCTGCTCTCCTCTGCGCGGGGGGGCACGTCATGGCGCGCAATGAACTGGAAGTTGATCTGTCAACACTATCGTTATCTTCAGGGCAGATGTTTTTATTTTAGTCTGCTTATAATTCCTTACTAAATGTAGTATTTAATTTCGATGTACTCCGTCTTTTTTTGATTTAAATCAAATTCCTCGTCATAAATATAAATATCACGAATACAAATCCAATAGTTTTTCTGGTTGCAATTTTCTAAATTTCGGCTATGAGTAAGGTATGCTTTACGCATCCGCGCGTTAAAAGAAATGTTTAATAAAGTAAACAAATAAATATTAGGCTTCTTTTTGGTAAATTTGGATACCCTTTAGATCATAATTGCTCATTTTTATTTATAAATTACGGTTTCATATTTTTTAATTTTATAATTTCTGCATGCCATCTTACCAGATTTAAACTGATGATCTATAATCCGGAATCGCCGAAGTCCCGACGAGTCCGGATTAAAAACTTTTGACTGTATTAAATTTTGTAATTTTTGGTGAAATTAAAAATTTATCTTTGTGCATTTTTTTCAGTTTTGTGCCATTTAGCAAAATTAAGCTATTTTCCGTTCCTGTTTCTCATTGTACGTGAGTGGAAAAGAGGATATTGTTCACACTTTCAAAAAATTTTAATAAAGTGCATGAACCACATTTGGCAGTATTATTGCTTATAACAAATATGCCAAATTTCAAAACATCCCAATATGTAAATTCACGTATATCTTAGGAAAATTTGATAAAAAAACTCGTAATTTTTTGCAGGTGTGCTTAGAAATACATACTTTAAGGTGATGGTAAAAATTTTATAGGTTATAATTGAAAGTGTTTTTCGAAAAATTTATGAAAATTATTTAAAAATACAAGTTTTAAAAAGAAATCATAAAAAATGGGTGAATTTTATTTGGAATGAACCTAAATTTCGAAATGTGAAAGGTTGAATCAAATAAGCTTAATAAAAAAAAAAGATATTAATAAATATATACTAAATTCAATTAACATAGAGGAGCTAAAATTTTGTGAGCTAATTTTTTAAAAACTACTAGAACAATTTTTACAAAACTTGGCATAATTTAAGTTGTAGAATCGAAATATGGGGGAGGGGGATGGTATAATATTTCAGAAGTCCGATTTTGTGTCAGAATACCTATGTTGGAACAGTGCTATTGTGCTTTCAAGACATGGAAAATGCAAGTTAAATTTCAACAATTGGTCCAGTAGAATGGGAGATATAGAACGGTCCCCTTTTTTGTGTGCGCAAGGTGTACATGGAAGCTTAACATAACATAATGCTACAAAAATCTGGGAGTTTTTGCTAAAGGCATCAAAACAGAAGATATTGGACCATACAAGTCTTCGACACGCAAACTTCTTGATCACCCCTCATTCTTAATAATAAATATTTTTTAACTCTGCTTGTTCAAGTATTGCTGAACAATTTACTTAATAGCAGTGCAATAAATTTCATGAGCTACTGGAGGTTATTTCTGCAGCATTTAAACGAAATTTAAGAAAATGGGAGGAAATGATTTTCACATTGAAGAATGGGAATTTACTTTAATGAGAGTTATTGTGCCCATTCTGATCTCTGCATCCTTGGAGTTGAATATTTCCTTAAATTATTCCTTTAAGTATTTTTTTAAAATGTTCAACCTGACTTTCCACTCCATCAATTGTCAAGGACAATAGGTGCCACGTGTGGTCGCGCATTATCCTGTTGAAATATGGCTGTGGGCAAGCCCTGAAGGTAAGGAAGGACAACTGGCTCCAACACCTCGGAGATGTAGCACTGGCTGTTTGAAGTACCGGCAATGCCTACTAGAGGAGTGCGAGAGTGATATTCAATAGCGCCCCATACCATAATACCGGTGCAGGAACAGTGTGGCAGTGCATAACGCAGCTGTTCAGCATCCTCTCTCCACAGTGTCTCCAGACTCGAATCCAACCATCGTGGTGTTGCAGACAGAAGCGTGACTCGTCAGTAAAGACAATTTCATTCCATTCTGCCATCTACATCCTTCTTTTATCGCACCACTGGCGGGAGAGACGTCTATGGTTCTGTGTCAAGGGTACATGAAGCAATGGACGTCTTGCAGACAGACCACTCTGCTGTAAACGGCGTCGAATGGTATGCGCAGACACTGGATGATGCGTTACACACTGAATGTGCTGTGCTATGGTTCGTGATGTGACTGAATGATCCGTTACTGTCATGCGCACAATGCTTCTGTCATCACGTGAAGTGGTGAACTGAGGTGGATGCAATCGAACACGTCAGTCTGTCGTACCCTTCTGCATCCAACAAACACATATCTGCATTACAGTTGTTTGGTTTCATCCAACACGACTACCGATTTCCCTGAAAGATATTCCACACTCTCGGTAGGCCACTATCCTTCCTCTGTCGAACTCGGGTACTTGATCAAAAGATGATCGCTGCTTACTATGAGGTCTAATTGATCGTTTTTTTGAAAAAATCCACAATTGCCAAACTTGAAACCGTCGAAAACTTCAAGCCTTAAATAGCACTTTGAAGTGGCACCACAGGCGTGCATGATGTGCATCTGCGCTGAAATTCTAATCATTTCACCTAATTCTAATCATCTCACCTCCGCTAATGCATGTTGTAAATTTCATGTTATTTGCATGCTTTCCTTCAGGGTGTTGCATTTACGGTGGCCAGCAGTGTATGTTTCATACAAAAATAATATTCAACCTTTTAAACCTGAAATAGGCACATTTGCATGTTTTATGTTTCCCTTGACATTTTTTTTTAGATAACAATATAGAATAATTTATTGCTTATCTAACATTTAGTTGAATTGTTTGTTATCAAGTCTTTATTCTATTTAGAATTTAAATAGTGCAAGCTATTTATACATTCTATATGGCCATGCACCTAGTTATATGAGTGAAATTTTTCTAAAATTTTTATTCCATTAAGAAAAGGCTAGATTTTGAATTTCGAATACAATTTTTTTTTCAATTATTAGTTCCTTTTTAATCCTGTAATTTTTTAATAATAATTTATTACCAGGTACATTTGTAAGTTCATATACATAAATAAAAAGAAATCTGTGTTTTTCAGTATTGTTTACTTTTGTAAGCAGACTGATAGATAGCAGATTGGTATAAAGGCTTGAATAATGTAGAAATTTGTTAACTACTGTGTGAACTGTGAATAAATAAATAAATACTCTAAATAAGCACAAAGTAAATATGATAAGGAAGTTTCATATATTATATTTATGCTATATTTAAAATTTTTTAGTTATTTTGAAATTAGTCATAATGGTAATCTTATTGCTTGGAAAGAAGCATGTTTGTCATTTAAAATCAAAAACTTAAACTATTAAATTTTGAATGAAAAATTTACTGCAGTAACATTTGGCTGAGTTGTGAATGTAAAATGAAAGTTCATGAATGAAATTAATAGTCTTAATGCCAACAACAATAAAAAAGCCTTGTTGCTTTGTATATATAATGTAAATATAACTTTTACACATTAAAAGTAAAAAACTGGGTACTCAAAATATCTATGCGAGTCATTTTATTTTAAAGGTTTGAGACTGAATGCACAAACTTCAAGTTTTGTTTAGTAAAATAATTTTAAATGTACTAAAAATTATGTTAGCAAATGAAATTGATAATTTATTTGTATAAAATTTATTCTCGTAAAAGGTAATTCACATAAAAATTTAAGTTGTCAAAGTTTTTCATATAAAAATTTCTTGGAAATTAATACTCTTCATAACCAGGGATGGGAAATTTGGAAGCAAATTCTACAATTTTGCTCTTTATTTCTTTCAGTCGTTGTTGGAATTCAGGATCTTTTGCTAATTTAGTTTTAAAATCTTCCAGCTTTGGACCACTTCTGGATTTTACATCAAGAGCTAACTGCAGACCTTGGAAGTAAAAAATGCATTATTATAATGTATTCAATTACATTTCATCAATAATACAGTGGTTATCATTAATTAGGGAAAAATTATGATTGTTGTTATAGAAATTAGTATATTTACAAAATGAACAAATCGGATGTGTCAGGTTGGTATGGAAAAATTACCTTCAGTATGGAGTATGATCTCCTTTAGAAGCAATATAGCAGATACAGTGATATGTGATGCTGTCAATTATGTGGTCTATCAGTTCCTTAGGAAGTGAAAACCATTGCACTTCAAAAGCAGTTGCAAGCATAGCATGGGTCTCCAGGGGAGGATTGAGAGCAATTTATGACTTCCTAAAGCATTCCAAACATGCTCGATAGGATTTAGGTCTAGTGATCGAGCTGGCCACTCAATGCACTGAATTATTTGCTGTTGAAGATAATCATCCATAATACAAGCTCTGTGCAGTCTAGTGTTGTACTGTAGCAGGAAATCATCACCTATTCTTCCAGCATAAGGATGCACATAGGCATCAAGGATGTTATCTCTATAAGCCTGAATATTCACTTTCTCATGAGGAGACATGGAGGTCTGTGCATCCACCCAAAGAGATACCACCCCAATCATAATAACACTGCCTCCTCCATATGCAACACTTTCATGGATGTTTGATGGATGGTAATGGGTTCCAAGTTCTCTCCAAATCAAATAATGCCTACTATTACTTTGGAGGCTAAACCTGGACTCATCCCTAAAGAAAACAGCCATCCACTGTTCAGTCGCCTAGTGGACATGTTGATATACCCACCTCATAAGTTCCATTTTATGACATGACATGAGCAGCATGCAAATGACTGGTCGCCTCGAGTACAGACCTCCTTCATGAAGTCTTTTATGCACGATTGATGTTGACACCAACCTTCCAACAACTGCAGTAAGGGAGGGTCAGAGTTGCGGTTCTATTTCTTTGTGCGCATAACTACAAATATTGGTCATCGGCGCTCGTCGTAGCAATTGGCCGTCCTTGTCTGAACCTCCTAGGTGCCAAATCTGTGATTAGAAATTGCTGCCAATTGTCTATGAACTGCAGGACTCACATTTAGTCATCTGGCCATTTCTATCTGATGCCTTGAAGTTATTGTTATTGAATTGGCGATCCCAGATTTCTTATCTCAGTATCACAGCAAAATTTGCAGGCTTACATGCAGTTTTATGCTCCTCGCAGATGACATATTCCAACTGCAGTGCCACTAATTTGCATACTGCAGTTTTACTCAGCAACTCTTAATTGACAACATTTTCAAATTTTATATAGATTTTCTTATTTTTGAATGAGTCATTGCTATTATTGTGATTTTTCCTTAATTTTTGGAAACCAGTGTAGTGTATATTAATAGTATCTTTGTATACATTTTAATACAAAAATAATTAACCTGCCATATTTGAAGACTATCAAAAAAGATATCACGCTTTAAAACACTATATTCAAATAAAATTCTCTTTTTAACCCTCTTAAGCATTTGGAACATATCTATGACCCCTTCAAAAAGACCTTATATAACCAATATATTTAGTCTCCTCCTTTTTCATATAATTATTTATCAAACCTATCAATTCATATGAGGGAGGGGTTTGGTTCAAAGAGTATACAGACATTTCAGATATCTTCGAAATTGATCATCCAGTTTTGAGACAGTTTTGCAGCGACTCAGAATGGTTTTTGCAGAATATAAATAAATATTACAGAATGCACTCTGCTACACAACTGCTTGGTTGAACTGCTCTAGAACAGCAGCTGTATTGTGTCACAATTTTATGAATAAGAAGCCATACAAAGATGCTGATAAGAGTAAAGCACAGATAAAATTTTAGTACTGCTTAGTTCAAGGTTTAGTAATCTGTATGCTTAGTTATGATGGATATGTCAGTAATATGATAGAGGAGCTTACTCAATGGCATGTCACTTTTAACTGAATAGTTGTAAGGCAAAATGTTCTCAAATGTGTGATTTACTGTGTTTTAAATTTATGTCAAATAATAGTAAACAAGGCCAGTTTCTGAAACACTGAAAGCGGATAAATACTTACTGAGCAGGCCTCATATGTGTATCCTATATTAACAATACTTTATACAGAAGATCACATATATGACATGGTACGTAACAACGTCTATACCCACGACATCCAAACATGAAATAGCCATATAAACAATGATGACAGAATTTCCAACCAACATGAGATACTTACCAAGGAGGGGAGGAATAAGTAAACAAAATATACAAATATTTGGTTGCACATTTGTACAGAATATTTAAATTTATGTTAGCAAAATTCAACTAGCTTTCAGGTAGGATACAAGCGATGTACTTGCTTTGACAGTACATATACCAAAATTAAAACAACAGAGAGCTGTGCAAAGATGACTAACAGTGCTTGCCTGCCTATAGTTATTGCTACATTCCAGGTAATATACATTCTGTATTATATATATTCCAGGTAATATACATTCTATAGTATTGAAAACGAAACACTAATAGTATCATAGTTGAATGTTTTATTCAGGAAATACAGTTCCAAGAGGGGAAAAAATCAATAATGCATTGGGCTACTTCCTGATACAAGCTCTTATCAGGCTGAGCATTGACTTGTAGAGTTGGCGGGTGTCCCTTTGGGAGACTGTTTGCCATACACATTCCAACTGGCGAGTTAGATTGGTGCAAACCAGAAAGAGTTGGAGCTATCAGCTCATTAGAACTCAAATGTCTTTATAGGGGAAAGATCTGGCGATCGTGCTGGCCAAAGAAGCAACAAGACAAGCAATAGAAAGGTGTGCTATGTGCAAGCCAGGCATTATCCTGTTGAAATATGCGAAAGGAAGGGCAAGGCTATGTGGCATAGAATCTCATAAATTTACTGCCGTGCTATTAAGTATGTCACGGATGAAAACCAAAGGAGTCCAGCTATCAAATGAAATGCCATCCCATATCATTAGTTCCTAGTTGTTGTGCTGTGTGGCAGAGGACAGTCATGTGAGTATCTCATCATCATCCTGGATGTCTTCAGACACATTTTCACTGGTCATCAGGGCTGAGTTCGAAGCAGGACTCGTTGCTGAAAACAATTCTACTCCAGTGTGCGAGATCCCAGGATGAATGCACCCAGCACCATTGTAAATGTGTCTCAGTGACCTGAATACCGGTTTGCTGAGTTGCCTATTAGTAATCATTGCAGTAGCTGGTGTCCCAGTAACATATCAGATTACTGAAAAAGACACATCAGGGGCTTTGAGTGCCAATCGAACAATCACTCTGACCTCACTTTTTATTGACCACTATCTTCTCGATGTTCTTTACAGCAATGATTCATCAATTCCAGCCAACGTCATCGAATGGTAGCATCGATTTACCTCATGCCTAGTAATCCTGTTATTTGACCATCCTGCTTCTTTTCGTTCAGTTTTGCATCATTTCTCCAATGGTGACATCTGCTCATATTGTTTGCCAATCCATCTGCAATGCAATGGTCTAAGCTACATAACTTGACAAAACCACATTCACATGAAGGTTAAGCCTTAATGTCGTCAGTTTTATATATCGCCTGTATGCTCTGTTGCTCCAGCTAGTCATTAGCCACTAAAGGGCCATTCAGAGTAGGGTTTACCTGAGCTAACGGAGACAGCTGACTTAGCCGACCATTTCCTCATAGTGCAGAGTTAAAAAATCTTAACTGCATGCATAACTGAGTAAACGCATGGAACTGACTCTGTTAGCTCAAATAAATCCCAGTTTGAACGGCCCTTAAAAGTTAAATTATTTACACATTTTTTACATTATTTTATTGCAAGATGTGGGTATATGCTATTTTGTCCCATTCAGATAACTCCTTGGTGTTTCGCTTTTGGTGTGTTACAGAATATATGATTGGATAATAATGTGTGCATAATCAACGTCTCATTTTATTTTACAGTATTTATATTTGAAATAAAATAATAAAATGCTAGCAGAGATAATGAATAAAAAGCCCTAAAGATTAGGATTCAGATTCACAACAGCTGTTGTACTGCAGAATTACTTTAATAAACTGGCTATTAGATGAGTCGAAGTAATTCATGTTTTTTAGGAAACTCTATTCCGATGCCAAAATCAGAGTTAAATGCAAAAAAAAAAAAAAAAAAAAAATACACTTTATTGTTTTTCATATTGATGGTATTTTATATGTTCAATGAAATACATAAGTGCCCTTGCATCCATGAGTGTATATGCTGATGTTTCGTTGCAGATAATGGCAAATGTTATATAAAACAGGACATTTGTCTAACATATATAAATATATGTTTAATACATTATACAGGGTGAGGAAAGTAAAATAGCCCGGCACTTTTATTTGCCGCACCCTATATAACATAATATACATATATATATAAATTTAAATTAAAATTTTAACAAGCACGTAGAAAAGTAAAAAAGCAAATTTAAAGCCAAAATTAGGCATTTTTAATTTAATTTTTTCTAGATTTATTTTTATATATTTTAATATTAATGTTTGCAAAAAATTTTTAATATAACAAAGATAGCAGCTTGGCACTCAATTTTACCTACATAAGCGCCATCTATATAATTAATTTGAACACACTTACTTCTTTTTAAAGACACTTTTACAGACCCCAACGCTCATATAGTAGGTAAGTTAGAATTAAAACTTACTATTTACTTGCTTTCAGTATTTAAGTATTTTCTAGATATGAAATTATATTTTTAAGTATATATTTGTTTTTTAAAAATTGTGAATTACTTCTTTTTGTTTCTTATTGGTTTATATGGATTATGTCTAGTTCATTTTTAGTTTCTTTTTATTGATATGCATATTCGTGTCGGGGAGGACTTTTTTTTTTTTTTTTTTTTTTTTTTTTTTTTTTTTTTTTTTTTTTTTTTTTTTTTTTTTTTTTTTTTTTTTTTTTTTCTGTAGACAAGGGTTTTCTAAAATACATTGGTTTCTAGATTATTTTTTTATAAAAAATTAATTTTTTTTTAAATTTAATTTTTTTAAAAAATAGTTTAATTTAATACTTGACTTTACTTGCTTGTTTATAAAAAGACTTCATTAGTATTTTTCCTTTTAGAACTTTAATTCTTAAAAATGCTAATTTCTAAGGGTACCACTTTATTGGTATTTCTTTTTAGACATTCTTCACTTTTTACTTTTGGTTTTGACTTTTACCCTTGTCTGCATGAATGACGAAACACGAATTGAATGAGTGGAGAGTTAGGTTTGGAGGCAACTTCCCCTTGATAAGTCTGTCTCCTGCCTGCTCAACAGTCATTCACTTATGCATTTTTAAAAAAATTGTTTGGATTAATTTTAATTTGCTAAATTAGTGAATTTATTTTCATGGATTGGTTTTACACTTGATTTGCTTATGCTTTGGAATTTAAATGATATTGTAGATTAGTTTGAAAATTAAATCTTTTATATGTTTGTGCATTTTTAAAAAATTATTTTGGCTTTAAATTTGCCTTTTTTTTTTTTTTTTTTTTTTTTTTAATTTTGGCTTTAAATTTGCTTTTTTACTTTTCTACGTGTTTGTTATTTAAATTTAAATTTCATTCTTTGCAGCAATGGCGCAAAGAATTATTTAATTAAATTTATATTTAAATTAAATTTATGTGTTTATTTAAATTTAAATTTCATTCTTTGCAGCAATGGCGCAAAGAATTATTTAATTAAATTTATTTAATTAAATTCAATTTATTCTTATGAAACATAAATATATATATAACATATATAAATACAGTTTATTTGATAAATTATTTATTTTAAGATCATTATTATGAACTATACAGCATCAAATAAAGCAATAATAAAGTTTAATAAAGTTAAGTAATGTACTACATTACATAACACACAATTTAAATGTAATGCAAAATACATTACACACAATAGTATACTTTCTCTCTTACATTTGAAAGAAAGAGATTATGACATTTTAGCCTACCATGCAAAAAATGAGTGATAACTGATCACATGTAATATAATATACTGTTTCAAGAAATGGTAGAAATAATAAAAAAACTTTTAAAAAAGCAAAAATGTAACATGGAGAATACAAAGCTCTAATGACAGCACGGAGGATGCAACAAAGTCGAGGAAAATGGTTCTGAAGTACAGAAAAAAAGATAGACGACTTTAACCTAACCAGCTGCAATCCCTTGCATCAAGCCATCAAGATGTTTGAGAGCCTGCATGTCATCTGTCACATTGTCTGGGCCATTGCAGATTGAAACTGCGAAATTCCAATTCGAGCCTTTTTTCATTGGCATTCAAACTGCGATCCAACCTTGTAAACAATGGAAAGAACTGAGACTCAGTAATAAGGCAGAAAAGAGTTGAAAAAATGAGCAAACAGCTACTAGAGAGGCATGTGATGGGATGGCTTCCTGTGCATAACGTTAATAAGGAAATATTATGGAAGTGGATATGGGGGAATGACTCGAAGCTAACAAAAATACATGCTTCTCTCCTTGGAAGATAACAGCTCCCACAACAGCCAAAGTGCATGTGTCGGAGGAAAGTTTGCCCAAAGAAGTCTCAACAAAGATTCGCACAGCAATGCCGTCTCCTCATGGTAACGGAATACAATGGATTTTTCTCATAGATGGGAACTTCCTAAAGCAAGGGAATAATGAACAAATTTACTAACAGATTACAGTACACATGGATAAGATTTGACAATTTCAAGAAGGTAAAGAAACATACTAATCTGTAGGACAGCTGCAAGCTGAGATAACAAACATATCCCACAGTGAATATTTGCATTTTTCATCATTGAATACATCAATCTAATTATGATCATGCAAGCTGTTGTAATTATAAGTACTGTAAGAAAGCAAAAGTATTGGGAATATCCAAGTTTCTATAGTTTACTGTTACCTTAAGTGTCACTTAGTGTCCATTTCAGAGCATTTAAACTGTGACTTTTCCTTTGTCAAAATTGTGAACCACAGATACCAAGCATGGAATACGTCTAACTGCATTTCAAGTGTTTATAGTCGCAAAATAGCTTTTTATTTTTTACAGGTTAATTTAGAGATTTTTTTAAAAACACATATAATCAATATGCTAAACAGTCCAGCAAGTATTATCTTATAATACATAAAAAGTCACCAAACAATGCAATATAGCAATGCAGAACTCAGTGCTTAAAAGGTTAATTATAAAAAAGACTAGGGCAAAGTCCGAAATCTAGACTCATTAGAAAATCAGTGGTTCCAGATTTCAGGTCATCAGTTTAAATCTAGTAAGATTGTATGAAGAAATTATAAAATTAAAAATCTGAAACTTATTAATGAAATAATGAAGCATTGCGGACCTTTTAAAAAAAGCAACTCAATAACTGTTTGCTTTATTAAGCATTCCTTTCAATATAAGTTGTTTAAGCTGCTTCGTTTTTTATGCTAATATTTTCTCATTAATTTTATACATAGACTTATTAATTTGTTCAGTTATAAAGACCTGTAATTACTGTGTCAAAAATTCTCGTTCAACTGTCAAGTAAAACGTTTTCATTCTAGACAACTTCTCTGTCACTTTCTTCACAATCGGTAGCAATATTTTCTAGATTTGGAACCATATTACAGATTTTACCATCCATTAGTTGACTGATTATTGGGGCATTTTAATCACAACAAAATACTTCTGTTATATCATCATTATCACTTCTACACATTTCTTCACAGATTCCATTAATTGGAAAACTTTGCTTTTGGCTTGTGATATCTGAAAATCTTCAAATTCATAGTTAGCTTAGCGAGCATCTGCTATAAGCTGGCGATGTATCACGAGACTGATAACTAAAGATGTGTTCCAAAAATATTTGTCTTGCTCCTAAAGAAGTTAAGCCTGTGCCCTGTGTTGAAGTTAAGCCTAATTATTACTAGTTTGTTATTTATTATACTTATGTCTACTACTACTTTTTATCTACTTATGTCTATTTATTATACTTATGTCACTTCTGCTTAAAGCTTATCCGAGTCCTGATGAAATAAAATCCCACTTTTACTTAAGGCAGTAGTTTTCCATTATGCACCTGACAGCATTTTAGAAGACTTTTTCATCATAAACAATTTCCAGTTATAAGAATAATTTATAGATGGTAAACATACACCCTCCACATGGCAGATGATTCACCTGTCATGCTTCGGTAGACATAATGGAAAAATCTCTTAAGGATCATTGGAACAAGAAATCAGTTATTCTTAATTCAAACAGCATTAATTTTTTTTTTTCCTTATGAATGTCATTTAAAAAATTTGTTTTTAGAAATTTCTCCTGATGAATACCCTTAACACTTTGCAACAGAGATGGCTGAAGTCTGTAATTGTTACCAAGTGTAATGCCAACATAAAATGTTACCATGCTGTTTAGTATTCAGTTACTGATATTAAAAAAAAAAAAGTTGGAGACATCCCAGCGTGAGTTATTTCTCAGGCTACCATGAGCTGACAGTAATATGATGATGAAAGCAAAACGTAATGAAAAATGATTTGCCAGGTTAGTATAAACACGATATGACATTCAAGTGGCATAAAACTCATCATCAGCTTTGATAGAATGTTTTAGTTTGTGATATATACCAAGAAATAAGGTGGCTATGGACCCAAATTATTGTTTATACAGATTTATACTAATAAATGATTGTGTTTCTTCAACATGGATGTGTTTGATTTAGTACCAAAGTGAAATTAAGAATCAAGACCCTCCATATGCTTTATTATGAAAAAATGTCTACTGCACATATGTGAAGCATTAGGCTTGTGCTACTGAAAAAACTGCTTGTGTTGCAGGAGTGTTGCTGGATATCAGGTCATTTTAAGTATTGGACATACAGATTTAGGAACTTGTACTGTATAATTAGTTTCAGAACAACAGAAAGAAGACATCAGAATAATTTGCTTCAGCTCAATAGACGCAGACTGATATCACTCACTTTCATATACTGCAAATTTTTCATTAGAGATGAAGCAACACTATCTGTGGCTAAATTTTTACTTAAATTAATAATTTTGTTTAAATTATTTAAAACTACTAATATAAACTAAAAGAGTTGTCAGTATTCTAACTGCTATAGTTTAAAAGCAAACAGGACATCTGGACCAAAGCTACATGTACAAAAATTGCTCCATTAGACAATGAAGGATGATAGAAACAAAATTGTCTATCATTGCTAAGAAAATAAGCTGCACAAGTTACAATCTAAGTATTAATCATACCTTATGGTAAAACTAAGGAAATATGTGTTCTTTTACTGTTACAGGCTAAATTATTTTAATATTTTTTAAAAATATGAGATCATTCTTTGAAAATGTGTATTACTCAGAAAGATGTTTTTAGTACAGAAACTAAGTTTTTGTAGGCAAGCAAGTAAAATATTTAAAATTTAAGATGCATGAATACCTTTATGGATGAAGTTAGCCACTTTTTCTATGTCAGATTCAGTAAAGCCTCTAGTTGTAAGAGCTGGCGTCCCCAATCGAATTCCTCCAGGATTCAATGCACTTTTATCTCCTGGTACAGTATTTTTGTTGCATGCAATGTTGATGTCTTCAAGAACTTTTTCTGCACGAGAGCCATTCAGATTGATGGGCCTTAAGTCAACCCATACGATATGATTATCTGTTCCACCTGAAATAATTACATGAACATATAGAGTATTTTCACAACTATAAAAATAAGATAGAATCCACATAGACAGATTAACACAGGATAATTTTCCATCAAACTTAAAAGACTATTTGAAGAACTTTTGAGAAGTATTTCTTGGAGTAAAATTTGATATTCATGTACAGCCAAAAGTCGTTAATTCGGACCTCAAAGCTAAAAACTTTCTGTGCATGTGCCGCGTTGGCACATGCGCACAGGTGTTTTACGCGTGCGCGTAAGACCTTGACTACTGCGCATATGCGTGTGCGCAAATGCAGAATACTTTTTCGCCTGCGCGTTTAACGTATAACGGACGGTGTAAGCTAAAATTATCTAATTATCTATTTCAGTTAATGTTAATGATTGCGTTGTTCCTTAATGTTCAAATTGGATCCCGCTTATTATTTTTTGCAGACTGTTAGAGCAATTTTATAAAAGTAAGCTTGAACTTTCGATTATATCAAATAGAATTTCCGATATATATTTGCTAATATGTAAAGGATCTAAAGCAAAAGTATGTTTCGAAATCCGAAATCTGTTTATCAATTTCACACTGCTCGGCGGGGGGAAACGCCGTGGCACGCAATGAATTGGAAGTTGATCTGTCAGCACTATCCTTATCTTCAGGGCAGATGTTTTTATTTTATTTGGCTTATAATTCCTTACTAAATGAAGTATTTCATCTCGATGCACTCCGTCTTTGATATGATTTACAACAAGTTCCTCGTCATTATAATTCGCTTTCGATAGTGAAGAAAGTAACAGAGGTTATTGAAAACAAAAAAATTTCGACTGACAAATTAGTCGGTATTCTAGACACAGCAATTATAGGACTTGAACAGCGGAACTTAGTAACTAAACAAGAAATTATGCCTGTTTAATAGAATTAAAGAGAAAGCATTATCACATGAAACGAAGCAACTTAAACAACTTACATTGAAAGAAATGTTTAATAAAGTAAACAAATAAATATTAAGCTTTTTCTTTTTGTAAATTTTGATACCTTTAGATCATAATTGTTCTTTATTTCATAAATTATGGTTTCATATTTTTAATTTTGTAATGTCTGCATGCCATCTTACCAGATTTAAACTGATGATCTATAATCCGGAATTGCCGAAGTCCCGACGAGTCTGGATTAACGACTTTTGACTGTACTTTAAGAATACATTCAAAAGAATTCTTCCCTTTTATGGTTTTATGAAAAAATACTATATTTCAGCAGAAATTTTACCACAGTTTCTCCAATTGTTGGCAAATCTCAGAGGTGCATACCTAAAAACTGAGGATATTCTCCCAACAGACAATTACTAAACTTTAGTTATTTTATGAATCGATAGGTGGTGTCACTAAAATCGTTGTTTTCACACATTTTTTGCTTCAACTGTTTTACTAAAATTTGCATGATCAGATTTATTATTATTTAATAATAATTTTTTACGTTTTGCAAAGTATTTATTTCTTTTGCTGTGTTTTATGCTGTTTGTAAGAAAACTTTCAGTGTGCAAATAAAAGGAAGAACTATACATATATATATATATATATATATATATTTAATTATAGTAGCTGGTTTAAATATTTCAATGAATTATTCGATATTAATATAACTAAAAGTGAGCCGCTTGATATAATCTATGGATATAGATTATATCAAGCATTTCACGCATATAGGGAATGAAACAGATAAGAAGTAAGACAAAATACACCCAATTTCATACTGGTATATTTAGTTGTTTCAAAATCTATTTACAAACAATTTGTTATAAGCAGAGTACTAAAAAAAAGAGAGAGAGAATGGATTTTAGATAGATAATTTAAACACTGTTTCTGCTTAAGATAACAGTTATTTCATTTGCTTTTTATTTCAACTTCTTGTAATGTAAACATGAAATTTATTCGAGAATAAATTGATAACAAAGATTCAAAAACAGCATTTAAAAAACTTTTCGCAAATTCAACGGAAAAATTGCATGTGAAAGAAACGATAAGCATAAAAATTGCTTTTCCAAACAAAATAGTCTGAAAAAGAGCTGGTGCCATCTAGTATAAAACTGATTAACTAACAAATGAAATTTGGTAGATCACCAGTTGGGACAATACCAAACTGAGCTTAAAGAAAAAAAAAACATTTATAAAAACTGTTAAAACATAGAATTTAGAAATAAATAAAAGAAATATGAAAATGATAATGTCATTTGTTAAAGGCATGGTTGCCCAAGTTTGGTGCATTTTTAATATTTAGTTTAGTCGTTGCATTAATACTTAAGTAACTAAAATTTTCCAAGAGTAAGTTTTACTTTTCCTATAAAAACATGATTGTAGTTATGTTTCATAAACTGAGACAGATTTTTGTTTTCAAATCCAGTTTCTTTGCTATCATTTGCTACACACTGTTATATCAACAAAATTGTGTAACAGCGATTTTTATTTTCTATTACTGATTATAAATATCAATATTATTTAATATTATCAAGTTCAAAATAGAAAAGTCATGAAAATCTATTAAAAGATATTTCATGTTCTAATGGTGATGATGAAATCTCCTCTTTGTTGATGGCAGTTGAAGTTGCATAGCTTATAATCAAAGTAGTACTTTCAGGGAGGGGACATTAATAACAATGCAACATAATATGCTATTTAAAACTTATTTATAAAATTCATGTTGGATTTTTAAATTTTAAGTGTTTAAAAAAACTCTGCTTCATAGCAAGTAATTTGAAAGGATAAAGAAATTCAATATGATCTGCATCTATGGCTACTTCTAAGATATACTTTTTATACAATTATCAATATACCTTACTTTATATACACCTTATTTCCTCAAGTCTTTATATTACTCAAAAATACATTTTGCTTGATTATTTTTTGCATGTAAAATAAATGTTTTTTTTTCCCCTTTTTTCTTGTGAAAGATAAAGCAATTTTCTGGCAAAATGGCATTAACATAAATGTTTATTTTTTAAGGATAAATTTTCAGTTTTGTTTTTTCATTTTTTTAAAATTTACACTTATATAAGCAAAATTAATTTTTAAGTATTTATTTCAAAATTTTTAGATAACCAATCCAATTATGTTTTTACTCCCTGTTAGCTTTAGCACCTGCTAAAACAGTCAGAAAACTGAGGTCTTCTCCAAAGGAGTATACAAAGTGACAGTTTGGGGTACAACAAAGAAGTAGGAATCTTACGAGTGTATGAAGTAGAATCTTACGAGTGTATGATTGTATATCACGCAAGTGGGAGGTTCTCTCGCTGGACTCTGAGTCTAGTTTCAATAGTCTCTGAGGAGCTCAGCATCATAAATGCAGCTTTAAAGTACATGTATATTACAATTTATCACATTACACTATATTATATGCTATATTATATGGGATACAACTTATAATACTTATTTTTGTCTAAGAGGTGTGTGATCAAAAAGTCTGAAGGTCTGGTAGACTGAAGGGTACCCCTTGTATTATTGCGAAGTTGTTGTTTCATTTATCACCAAGTTGTTGTTTTATCTATCGCCAAGTTGTTGTTTCATTTATGGTAACCTGAGTAGTTGAATGTTCCGTAAAGAAACTTTTACCTAGAACTGGGTGTAGAGCCGTAGCTAGTGTTTTCAGCGTGCGGGGACAACTGAAGATTCTATGTGCCAACAATGGAAAATATTTCATTCTAAAATTTCATAGCGTTAATTTGGCACCCCCTGGATGCTGCTTCCAGGGACAGATTCCCCCCCCCTTGCCTAGGCCACTGATTGGGTGCTCCTTTGACTTTTTAAGAAAAATATATTGATGTGTACATGGACAAAGTCAAGGGAGTGCGCAATGCCAAGTTTGTGCAATTTTCTGATGTTTTTTTAAGAGAAAATAGGTCAATATGTACATGGTTAAAGTCAATGGAGTGCGCAATGCTTAGTTTGTGCAATTCTGTGATAATTTTTTAAAGTGAAAATAGGACCATGTGTACATGGATACTGAGTTTGTGCAATTCTTTGACTTGTTATTTTGGCTTTGTGTAGCAGCGATTTTAGAAACGCAACTACACGAAGCCAAAATGACACGTCGAAGAATTGCACAAACTTGATATCCATGTACTGCCAAAAATTGACAATTTTTGCCAACGGATACCCGTAAATATAATTTTACCAATCTGGAGATTGCTAGTCTAGAGCTGATAGAAGGCACTGGGACATGACATTTATTGATTGTATGCATATTTTTCTTCAGGAAGATAGCAAGTTTATGTATATTCTCTTACTTTTTGTCTTTTTCTGTATCTCTCCACAGCAAAGAAGAAAATCATGTACCTGACTTACACTATATCATTTTCACTGTAAAACTGGAAATGTAATACGTAAAGCTGAAAAAGCTAACAATTTTGTACCAGGTATGTAATACATGACCCATTTGAAACATCTTTATATTCAAATGTTTGCAAATGTTCACAAAAATTATAAGTTAGACATAATGCAGACTAAATATTTCAGAAACTTTGATTACTTAAAAGAACAAAACAGGTGACTTAAATTGTTAAAAAGTATATTTATTTCTTTTAAATCATTCCGTTTATTTAGTATCAGACTGATTAAATATGAAATAAGTTAAAGATCTTCGAGTCTACTGGACAAAAGTCCTCCGAAAACTGATTATATATTAGTTCATGTGCAAAATAAATTAAAGCCTTTACTGCTTCGCACAGCAGTAACAGCTGTCAAAGACACCAGATGGAGTATGTATTATAGCATAATATAATGTAATAGTCTAGAAATTTTTAATAAGAATCTGGCTAAAGATGTTTCAGATATCAAAATCTGAAGTCAGACCCTTCAAAGTGTACTTTTCAATAAATTAATATTGCTTTTACGTCACCATAAAACTAAAAAATAGAAACTTCTTATTTAAAAAAAAAGAGAGAGAGAGAAAAAGGGGGGACTGGTTAAACAGATTATTAAAAGTTCTTTATAAAACAGAAAGAATACAGTTGAATGTATTTTATACTACATACTATAATTTACAACTCTTAAGCATTCTTCCAAATTAAAAAAAAAAAATTAATTTATTATTTTAAAGTAACTGAAAATTATGTTATCTGTAGCTTTACCTGTAACACATATGTAACCTTTTTCTTGAAGTACGCGGGCTAATGTTTTTGCATTCAACACCACTTGTTCTTGGTACTTCCTAAATTCAGGCATCTGTGCTTGCTTTAATGCTGTTGCAATTCCTAATTTTTGTAAGAAAAGTTTATTAAACCATTTGTAACACAATTGTCAAGTTATCTAACAACTTACAAAGATTATAGAGATACCAACCATATAAATTAGAATACTAGCCTGCAATTGCATTGTTATGTGGTCCACCTTGTAGTCCAGGAAATACGGCTTGATTAATTTTTTCTTCAAGGTCATACATGACTTCTCCTGCTTTTGTTACAGAACGAACTCCTAAAATCACAATCATGAATTTTTTTAAACTATACTTTCACATGGTATTTAAGTATAACATATATTTTACTTTATTTTGGACTTTATTAAATAAAGAAGATATAACAATAAATAAAAGACTATACAGCAATACATTCTATGAGCAGATAATATATACTGCAACTCTGAGCCATAAAAATTTTTATAAGTTTGCACTTTATAACATAAACAGAATATCAAATTCTAATTAACTGTTTTACTTTTCAAAAAATAGAAAATACAAATAACTGCATATAAACATATGAAAACATTTTAAAATAAAAAAATTACATAATGTCATGCAAGTTACGTAAAATAATAATGATTAAATTTAATTATACCACACAATTTATGCTAAAAGCTGTTTCATATTATTTTCCTTCTTTCATCTCAATTCAACTTTAAGAGGTTTCAAGGCCTAGCGGTTATTTTTCAAAAAGGGTTTTCAGGATGAATTCTCTAAAAGACTTCCCTCTTAAGGGATTGCCATTAGATCTGAAAGCAGTTAAAGATGTTGCCTGATCTATCTTGATCTTGTACAGTTAAAGATCTTGTCTGATCTGTCTTGATCTTGTAAAGTTAAACATCTTGTCATGGAAATATTGCTTATTAAGCTGAAAGCTCATTCAACTTCAGTGCTGCCAATAGAATACCTTCTAGACTTGCACAGTATGTTGACTAATAGCGATAGTCTCTGTACTAACTTTAGCTTACTTTATGCTGTCATTAATTTCAATATGCAGTTTTATTTGCTAAAGCCATCTCAGTGAAATCCCCCCCCCCCCCCCATTTTTTTATTACCTGCATTATTACGACATTTAATGTTTGTTAATGTATTATTATGATATGCAATATTTGTTTTTCTTGGAACTAATAAACAGGTAAATTAGAACAAGAGGCTAGCAAGGGGTTAAAGGCAAATTTAAGAAAGGACTTACGTGAGCCTCCATGAACTCCATATATCGATAGCTCACCAATGACCCTGATTATACATATTTAACACATATAGTTAATGCTGCTTAATGTAATCATGTATGAAGATCCAGTGGAAGGAAGGAAACTATATACATTGACAGGAGTTTTGATATAAGTAGATTTTCAGCTTGTGTAACTTAAGTGTGATAAAGAAAATATTCTGATAAAGTCATACTAAAAAATCGTAATAAACTTTCAAACTGTATTCAATGAAATTTTTATTATATATAAACAAAATAGGATTTGGGCTTTTGATGATAATAAATTATCTTCAAAAGCTTCAATTTTATTAAATTCTTAACACAATAACATGCAAATCTGTTCTATTTGTTTGCTAATTTTGGTATCTAAATTATATATGCCAAATAATCTCAAATACATTCATTTAAGGTCAAACACATCTCGGAAAACAAACAGCACACTAATTGCACTTTATTTATGAGTTTTCAGGTGTAAATTTTCAGCTATGTAGGTTGTTATTTATGCCACTGTCAGTCAAAATGATTTTAAAATTGTAATAGCTATGTAAGAAAATTAAACTGAAAGTTTAATAAAGTGAACCATCTGATGCTTTCAAAATTACAAATTATACGAAAAAAAATTACGTCGAATGCAAATATTTAAAATCCTTAGTAGCATTATAATTTATAGCATATTATTCATTACAAAACTTTCATTACATATTATTTTGTTATTTTAATTGCATGCGAGTCAGATTTCTTACTAATTTAATAATTTGTTTCTAGAAGAACAGATGACTTCATGTTCCTAAAATTGCTACATTGCAAATACTTCCATAAATAAGCCTACTTTTCTAAAGAGTTTGGTATAAATTATAAACTGAAGATCAAGACATTTTTATATGGTTTCTTGTTGAATCTGTTGCAACAGACTATATGTGTAACTATCTGATTGATACAACAAAAAATACACATAATATACAAGCAAAATAATGAATAAAATTGAACTGAGTGAAAACATGATTAAAATATACTATTTTAAAATTAAAAATGAAAAATAAATAATCTGAATTAGATTTAGATCATAAAAGCACCTTGCATTACAAAATCACAGAACTGATTTTTTAGGTGAGGTTTTTCTCATGAAGAGTTACACTTCTTAAGATTTACACATTCACACTAAATGCTTACCTTTTCTGTAAAAAATCATGCCAGCTCTAGGCCCACGCAGAGTTTTATGTGTTGTTGTTGTAACAATGTCACAATATTCAAATGGACTAGGGATAACTTTAGCAGCCACAAGACCACTAATGTGAGCCATGTCTGCCATAAGGTAAGCACTGTTTTCATCAGCAATTTCTCTGAAACGTTTGTAATCTAGATTTCTAGGATAGCAACTGACACCTGCAATGAAGAAATTGTTTGCATAGAGATCATGTTAGGAATAAAGTATGATTAACATATAATTAAATGCAAAAATATTAGTAACAGAATTGCAGTTCTTCAGAAACTGTTTTTAGTACACTTTACACTCCCACAGTTAATTAACCAAGCAAATCCAATTAGGCATACACATAATAGTGAAAATTCCAACTTTCTGACACAATATGCATTAAATCCAATATGGTTTTAAATGTATCTTAAAAAAAAAAAAAAAAAAAAAAAAAAAAAAAAGAGAAAGAAAGAAAAGAAAAAGAAAAAAGAAAGAAATCAGTTAAGTTTTTTTAGTTTTTTTTTTTTTTTTTCCCCCACTCTCAGTATGTTAAGGGGAGTTGGAACCCCAAAATCTTCAAAAAACTGTGATTTCGGATTTTTGCATTTTCAAATTCTCTACACTTTTATCTTTCTAAAAATACCATTCTTTAATCTCTATGAAAATTAGAACTGTAAAAAAATCTAGTTTTAATTTGTCATCTACTGCTTTGATCAATGAGGATTTTTACATAAAAACGCGTTTTTCTCCAAACATGATTTTTTTTATACTCAATGTACCTTTTCTCAGGAACTACTGCTCACAGGTGTCTGAAATTTTTATGACTTATTTATTAGGTTCCCTAATATTTACTGAAATGATCTTTTTGTAATAAACTTTGAAAAAAAAAATTTAAATTTATTTGTGTGATATAAGTGCTAAATTTTACTATGCCTAACAAAATATCCTGTAATTTACTCTAAAATTCAAAATGTTTCAAAAGCTCATTTCAGTATAATCAGATAGGTATACTTTAATTACAGAAAAAATTTCAAGCTTGTATCTATAGCAGATTTTGAGAAAAGGTAGATCAAAAATGGCCAATTTAACATTGTCGGTATAGGGGTTTCTGATACCCCTTAAAGTAATTGAGCAGATCAATTATTTGAATTCACAGTTATTCCAAATTCTTACTTTTTATGATAATGTTTTTTTATTTTTAGACTGCACATCCAACTTAATTTTCTAAACATTTTTTGGTACTTCTTTTGTTATAGCAGCCCGAGATTGAACCACCAATCAACTGAGATATCTTGACAAAATCTGGCTACGTGTTCTTATACCTTGCCACGTGATCATATATTAGCATCAGGCGCATGTTCTTATACCTCGCCATGTAATTATATAATAGCCCTGTGTGTTGCATTTTTGCTCTTGCAACATGTTTCTTATAATTATTCATTTTGATGAGGTTTTTGAATTCACATTATTATAAAACATATTCATTGCTTTTTTATGTGTGTGTGAATATGACGTTAACAATCTTGAACTTACCAAATAATGAGGTGGATGCAACATTAATTCCCCCTCCCCAAGAAAGAGATCTTTTACCTGACAAATGAGTGTGCGAAAATTGCCACAATATGAACTTGACGTTAATGATGAAACCATTTGGAGGTGCAATGTAAAAAACTGCAAAAAGAAGAAGGGCCTCCATGTTAGAAATTGGTTCAGTGTATCAGAATATTGTTTACCACAGCTATTAGATTTATGTATTCTTGGACAGAGGAGTTGACATCCATGAAATAATGTAACAGCTTATTATGTGTTAAAATGCTGCAGTTGACTAGAATAATTATATGCAATAAAATAATAAAAAGGATAAGGGTTCTTAAAAATATTCTTAGGAAACAACATGCGAGTATTACTGTTATTATACAATGTGTTGTTTATTTTTATATTTGCACTTCACGACCTTAGCGAAATTATAGCTGAGATCTCAGTACAAATCTAAAATTGCCAAATATGATTGAAGGCTGCTATAACAAAGAAGTACTTATTTTTCTGTAATGAAATACTGCCACAGACAAAAGCTTTGTCAAAACTAAATACTAAATATGTATTTAAAAATGCATTAATGAAAAAAAAATATAATAATAATAAATGATAGGAGTAAATTGATACAAACATAATAATAAATATGAAATTCAGGTGGGGTTTTATGACAAAGTATGGTACTGTCTACGGATAAAAGTTGTTAGGTACTTAATGTAATAGCTTCAATGATGCTCTTAGAAGTTATATAATTTAAATTTCTAACTCAACATGATTATTCCTCCCCTTTTTTTTCAGTTGGCATTGTAGACTCCTAGAACTGTGTTTTGTGTGACTCATCAACTTAATGAAAGCTAAACACATAAATAAGTACTTTGTCTTGAATATTATTATACTACAGTATTTATTTTTTAATTTTTGTTTCTTTAGACAAAGATACAAGAACTTCTATTACAACAGTTGTAGAAATAAAATTCAAGGTAGGGACAAGCTGCAAATAGTAGTGGAAAATGTGTTAAAATTGAATTCTTTTTTTTAAGCTGACTATAAAAAAATACATTACTCATAAAATAGCCCAATCTTTTGTATATAGTTTTAAAATATATTGCATATGACATTGCATTATTTGGATATACACATATCATGGTAAGTCTCAGAAAACTACTTCCCTTAATTCAGGATTTTGGATATTGTTACACAGTTTATTTTTAAAATAAAAAGTAAAAGATGATCTTATCAAAATTGGTAACAATAGTATAAATTCTTAAGATGTACAATCACTTTTGTTTTATTATTATTCTAGTAGTTTCGATTATAGCCTGAATTCTTATGAAATAAATTAGTTCTTAGGTTTTATTGCTTCTAGTCACATTGTGTTTATTTTAATTTGTAACATTTTGTCTTTCCTTGAGACACAGAAGAATAGTTCTTATTATTTTGAACAGGCAGAAAGCTGCTTAAAAATTAAACTTACTCATGTAGAAAATTTTATAAAAGCTACAACACAAGGATTCACACTAGCTGTTTCACAGATGCTGCTGAAGAGTTTGTAATGATAATATAACTGCAACAGAAACTGGATTCTTTAAAAACTTTACAAGATTTTAATGAACTGTGTAACAAATATTAAGAAAAAGATGAAGATGAGGAAATATAATAAATTGATGTTTATTTAATTGAAGTAGAAGTATATCATGAGACAAATGAGGTAAGTCTTTAAACCTCAATACTCAATTTTCAAACAGGAATTCAAAAAATGAATTAAAAATTTATTATTTCTTTGTTTCCGAAATTCCCTACTTCGATTCTCTGATTTGCATAAGGAGTGGAGTAACTTCAGAACTACATTTAATAATCTAATATCTAAAAATTCTCATTTAGCAGACTCTTAAAAATATTTTTGTTTATAGGCTGCACTCTGAGGCCAAGCAAAATTAATTCAAACCTCAGACAATATGTATGAATTATTATTTAAAGCATTAGAAGTTCTTTATGAGAACAAAAGAATAATCGTAGTTACACATATTCAGAACATTATGACCTATCCCAAAATTAGTCAAGAGTTGGATAAAATACTTCGAGAAATGTTAGATCATGTAGAAAAGGATATATGGACACTGAAATTATTAGATTTTGTTAGAGATAAACTTTCAGACATATTAACAAAAGCTATTATTCAGCAACTTGATCAAGAGTCTAGAAAACTATTTGAAATGACTTTCACATCAAATAACATTACAGAATTTGATGCAATTTTACAGTTCATTGAAAAACAAAGTCAGATGTTAAAAAGTTCAACACAAAAGATAAGAGTATAAACAAATTTGCAACTTCGGAAAATTCATCAGATGATCAAAATGTCTTGTAGTTTGTTCGAATAACCTTTCAAAATTATCACATACTATGTGCAAAAGAGCACACTTCATATCTAAATTCTCAACACTCAAGAATAACAACAAGAATTCTCAACACTCAAGAATATGAATCATACTGAGAAATTTAGCATTATCAAGAAACACATCCTGTGCTTAAAATGCTTATTCCCATCTCATCAAGTATCTGAATGTAGATCAAAGATCATTTATTCGATTTGTAAACCTACACATCGTACTTTATTACACAGAGAATTGAGTAAAGACTCCCCATCATCTTTGACTGAATTGAAAACTAAAATGGTACAAGCAGACATCAAGGTATTGTCTCCCGCTCAATTGTTAATATGAGCTGTTAAAAAGAAAAGTTTTATTGTGTACTGCTATCATTTATAATGAAAATTTATTTCAATGTAAACATATTGTGTTTGCTACACTTTGACTCAGCCTCGCACTGTAATTTTATAAGTGCTGAACGTGCTAATTTATTGGGATTAAATAATCTTATTTCAGGAATTAATAATTCTATTCTAAATATTAAATCAAAATTAAAAGGTGAATTATCAGATTTAAAGGGCAACTATAAATGGAATTTAGACTTTTTGGTCATACCGAAAGTAACTGATATTAGTCCATCTAAATTACTTAATATTTCAGAAATAAAAACTACTAAAATTGTTTTAGCACACCCTAAATTTGACAAACCCAAGAAAATAAATTTATTGCTTGGGGCCAAGTAATTTTTTGAATTTATTAAAATTAGAAAGGTTCACATTGAAGACAACAAATTGTTTTCTCAAGGAACTGAATTTGGTTATGTGGCATCAGGCTCAACTGAAGCTTCTAGTTAAGTAGAAAATAATTCAGTTATTTATCATTGTTTTTTTTTATCTGTGAATATGTAAACATTAAACCAAAATACCAAATTCTTTTGGGAGATAGAAAATGTAGAAAGTTACAGTCCATCCCAAAGTGAACAGCTGAGATATTGTGAGGAACATTTTAAATGGACTCGCCATCAAAAACTCAATGGTTGCTTTGTCATACGAATGAAAATTAAACACTGATGCTGCAAGGAGAGCTAGTTCAGAGGTAGTTTACTGTCTGCCTCATCACAGGGTCTATAGACCAGACAAGAACACTACCCAACTGAGTGTGGTCCTCACTGCTTGTACAAAAACTACTAGTGATCAGTCCCTTAATGACATTCTTCTGAAGGAAGGCATCAAAAATAATTTTAAAAATCTTGTTAAGGTTTAGAAAACATCTTTGCGACTTTAGTGGGGCCATTGAAAAAATTTTTGAACACACTCAAACTGATAAGTACGAAGTTGATCTTCAGCCAATTCTGTGGAAGAAAGGTATTCACTATCCAGTAAATACTTACACTCTTGAAATGGTTACCTATGGAACAGTATGTGCTTCATTCTTAGCCCAATGGATATTTCATCAACTCTTTTGCATGAAAGTCGCCCAAAACGCCTGACCATTCAGACATCGGCAGGTTACCCGAAAGCCTGAATTATTTTCTACATGGTGATTTCCCCCATCACATTATTGCATGGCTCATGCTTTTGGGTGTTGTTAAATGACATCTCAATAATTGTTTTGAAGTGACTGAAAGTAGTTCTATTATTATTTGAATGCACGTTCCTTCTCTTTTGTTTAGCATCAATGTTTAGCAATTGATGCCCGAATTTGCAATCCTGTCCTAAACGAAAATGGCACGCAGAGATGAAAACGCATGAAGATCCTAAGAGAGAAGTTTCCACTTTACTTAAGTAGGTTATTGTTAGCACTGTAGCATTCTACTTGGCATAGGGAAAAGAAATATATTCCAACAAAAGTACATATATACAGGGATTTTAGACGTTTGAGTGAAACAGGATTTTGATCTCTACTAATGTGAGACTTTACTCTAGCCTCATCTGTAATTTTAACCGACCTCTACAAATACCATGTCCTGTCAGGAGCTTCAGACTTGACTCAAAGTCTTCAAGACCATCTTATCTACAACCAATAGCTTCAGAGTCAAAAGTCTTCAGACAATCTTATAACAAGAGTCTTATCTACAACCAAGGGCTAAATGGCAATTTTCTAAACATAACATTTCTCTTGGCACTTTTGCACTGTTGAAGGAAGATAATTTACCTCCATGCAAATGGCCTCTCTGTCAAATAGAAGATGTAATATCTGGTCCTGATTGTAAAAATGCCAACTGGCACCTTTAAAAAATGTATTTCAAAAATTAATATATTGTCTGTCCAATGAGAAACTATATTTTTATGTAATCTTTAGTTTATTATGATTGTTTATTAAGTCTAATAATATTATTGCATATGTTTGTCATGCTGCTTAAAAATTGTTTACTTTAAAATGCCGAGACATTTCAACATCATGTGAGATGTGTGGTCCTCACTAACAACAAGAATAATTACACTGTTAATTATTACACTGTTTATTTTATCACTAACAACAAGAATAATTACACTGTTAATTATTACACTGTTTATTTACACTGTTAATTATTACACTGTTTAATGGATATTATTACACTGTTTATTTTTAAAATAAAAAGTTAAAGATTGTCTTTGCAAAACTGGCAACGATAGTATAAATTCTAAATATGTAACGATCATTTGTGTTTTAGTATTATTCTAGTAGTTTCAATTATCACCTGCTTTGTAGCTTAAATTCTCATGATATAAATTAGGTCTTAGTTTTTCTTGCTTCTGGTAGTATGGTGCTCTTCTTAATTTGTAACACTCTGCACTTGGATATTTCAGTAATATCATGAAGAAATACAGACAGTCTGCAAACTGACAGTCAAGGCACTTAACTTTAATATTTGTAAATAATATAGTTATAACACATATATGTTATGCAATACTACATGTATTTCAGTATATATAATATGTGTTAAGTGACCTGTTAAAAGGACTTACCTGCAATTATTAACTTTGGCTTAAAAAGTTTGGCTAATACTTGTAACTGATCATAATTTATCAAGCCAGTTGCTGGGTCTATCTTGTAAGGCATGGATTCAAAGAATATTGAAGTTGCAGAGATTTTTTTCTTCTCAGTGAAATAGCCATGTGTCAAATGTCCACCATCAGGAAGATCCAGCCCCATAATTCGGCCATGTGGTTCCACTACTGCAGTATAGACTGCAAAGTTTGCAGGAGATCCTGAATATGGCTGTACATTAACTCCCCATTTGTCAGAACTTAAATCATAAGCTTCTAATGCCCTCTGCTGGCAAAGAAGCTCTACTTCATCAATAAATTCATTGCCACCATAATACCTATAAGAAAATAAAGTATAATAATCATACACAAACTGCTTCAAAGCTGTGTAATCAAAAGAATTTCAGAGAAAGATATACATTTATATAAATAACAGAAGTAATTGACTAGGAATATAATCAATTTCTTCACAAATTAAATGCATAACTAAATTTACTTGACTTTCTGTTTTGGCAGCATATGAATATACGAGGGCCATCCAGGAAGTAGATTACGTTTCCGTCTGTGTCCGCTAGGGGCGGGGCTAGCGCGGCCATCTTGGGGTCAGAGCGTTGCGCAGCTCAGTCTGCATCTAGCCGTGCTAGTGAGAGGTTCATGCTGTGCTCCGTTCAGATACTGTGATGGTTTGAAATGTCTGCGTTAATTGAAAATCCCGCGAGCTGCGAGGTGCGCTCAGTAATAAGGTTTCTGACTGCAAAAAACTGTAAACCGATAGAAATCTATCGGGAGCTTCATGAAGTGTATGGGGACAACATTATCACTGAAGGTGGAGTGCGTCAGTGGGTCATAAGATTTCAAAATGGCCGAACCAATGTTCACGACGAAGATCGAAGTGGGAGACCCAGCATAGTGACCGCCGAACTTCTCGAAAAAGTCGATGCTAAAGTCCGTGAAAATCGAAATTTCACAATAACGGAACTTTCTTTGAGTTTTCCACAAATTTCGCGAAGTTTGTTGCACGAAATCATCAGCGAAAAGCTTGGTTACCACAAGTTTTTTGTGCAAGATGGAAGGCAAGAAGAGGTAACGAAGTGGTTGAAGGCGCAGGCGGCCGAATTTTTCGATGAAGGAATTTCCAAGCTCGTACATCGCTATGATAAATGCCTTAATTTGTATGGTGACTATGTAGAAAAGTAGTATTTGAGTGTGGCTTTCATCTGTATATAATAAAATTTGTTTCCTATACTTTGTTTATTTTTTTATTCCAAAACGTAATCTACTTTCTGGATAGCCCTCGTAAGATAATGCATTTACACATAAACAAAGATAATAAACAGAACAACAAACATGTTAAGGTATTTTTTACATTAACAGTTGATATTCTGCAAACTCTTCATTAACAAGAATATAAGGAAGCCTGGAGGAAAGTTTCTTTTGGTAAGAAAAACATAATATCAAGATGCCTATACCAATTACAGTAAGAGATCCAGATCATAGCCAAGCAAAGGCATCTTAGTCAAACTGAAATGAACAAAAAGGCTGATTTACTCAGTAATCGTGTGATATAAAACTTAAAAACCATCCTGAAAAAGATTAACACATCTTGAAATTTGAATCTCATAAAAAAAACTAGATACAGATGTACAAGAAGATCAAGGGCAACAGAGTCATCTATTAGATGAAAGATTGAAAAAATTTAATCTTCTGGAAAATTGTGGAGACAAAGAAAGGATTCAAAACTTAACTGAAAAATTTAAGACAGCATAGATATATCATGCATGTTGAGCACTTTTACAGCCTGGTTGAGAATCCCTGATATAGAGATACATTAGTACATGAAGATCTGATACACATGGAATGTATCATACTCTACACAGTGTTATTACAGTGCAGGTCAATGATACATGAAGTAATGTGCCAATAATTGCTGTAGCAAAGGCTCATAGCTCAATTTTTATAAGCAAATATTTCAATGATGCAAAAAGGGTAAATACAGTCAAAAGTCTTTAATCCGGACGTCCATAATCCAGAATGATCTATAATCCGGACCTCAAAGCTACGAACTTTCTGCGCATAATACCTTTACGCATGCGTGTTTAATGTATAACGGACGGTATAAGCTAAGCTAAAATTATCTAATTATCTATTTCAGTTAATGTTGCAGATTGCGTTGTTCCTTAATCTTCTAATTGGATCCAGCTTATTATTTTTTGCAGACTGTTAGAGCAATTTTATAAAGTAAGCTTGAACTTTCGATTATATCAAAAAAAATTTCCGATTCTGGAGCTGCCAAAGGATCTACAAAGCGAAAGCATGTTTCGATGTCCATCAAACAAAAAGTAGAATTGCTGCAAAACATGGATATCCTTTCTTTATCTAACCATTCCGAAATCTGTTTATCAATTTCCCGCTGCTCTGCAGGAAGGGGGCATCACGACGCAATGAACTGGAAGGTGATCTGTCAGCACTACCCTTATCTTCAGGGTAGATGTTTTTATTTTATCCGCCTTATAATTCCTTACTAAATGTAGTATTTCATCTATCGGTAGATGTACTCCGTGTTTGATATGATTTAAATCAAATTCCTCCTCATTATAAATATCACGAATACACATCAAATAATTTTCTGGTTGCAATTTTCTAATTTCGACTATGCGTAATGTATGCTTTACACATGTGCGCATTGAAAGAAATGTTTAATAAAGTAAACAAATAAATATTAAGCCTTTTTTTTTTGTAAATTTTGATACCCATTAGATCATAATTACTCTTTATTTCATAAATTACAGTTTCATATTTTTAATTTTATAATTTCTGCATGCCATCTTACCAGATTTAAACTGATGATCTATAATCCGGAATTGCCGAAGTCCCGACGAGTCTGGATTAAAGACTTTTGACTGTACTAGAATATCAATTGGGAACATTACTTTTTCTGATGAATTTTAGTACAATCTTCAGATATATGATGGCTAAACCTTTGTTTGCTAAAACAATGAGAAATAACATTTGGAAAACAGCAGTGCAGAGAAGTATAGGGATTCCAGAATGAATGTCTTAGTTTTTAGTGATTTCTGAATATTATAATATTGAGCTGAAGATTACAAAACAAAGATTAAAGTAAGTAATAGTTAATATATGTTGAACAAATACAGCTCATCACAAGTGAATTCCAAAAGCCTAGCTATTCAGAGATTTAATTTTCAAGTATTTCAGATTGCAACAACTTTTAAACTTTACAAGTTCAAAAATTATTTTCACATAATATGCACTAAAAGCTGGCATTATACTTTTATTATTTTTTTATAAAGAAATTAAATAGCAAATCAAATTTAAGCTAAAAAATCTTTCATGGATGTCTGACTTTTAATGCTTAGAGTCCACAGATCACAATTTAAGAAAATCATTGTAAAGAATGATCAAGAAGCAAGTTTAGCATTTTAATTTTATGCATACCTTCGTCCTGGATATCCCTCAGAGTACTTGTTGTGTAAACACGTACTTAGAGCCTGAAGCACACTCCGACTGGTAAAGTTTTCTGATGCAATCATTTCTAGTCCACATATCTGTCGAGATTTCTCATTCTTGATTATTTTATACAGCTCTGGATCACTCTGGTCTAAAGTTGAATTTAAGAACTCCATTTCAGGAGGAAAACTGCAAAGACTTTAAATTAGTTACCTTTAAAAAGCAACAGCTAATGATTATTCAAAATACCTTAATTGTTAAAGATAATAATTAGACATTATACATATCTCGGCATTTACACATAATATCTCAAAAAGATTGTAGCAACAAACATCTGTTGAATAAGTGACAGCAAACCTATAATTTTCAAATAAAGTGGGTTTCCAGAGTGAGAATTTCAGTTCATATGACACTTTATAGTAAATTTAATTTTAATGCAGTCCATTTAAAAAGAAAGTTCTGATTAGTATAATTTGGTACTTATCCTACTTTTTTTAGAGATTAAAAAATGCTCATTAACATCAAAATAAGCCCTAAAAAGGAAAAAAAGGTATGAAAGAAAATTTCATAATTTAAATCGCTTTCTCCTGGCAAAACATTCAATTTTAAAGCAATACAAAAATTTAATTAACATAACTAAATATGTATAACATCATCAATGTCCATATCACAGCAGCACCACCAATAATTTTACTCTTTTTCACATACACAAACATCTTCACAAAAATTTTTAATCAGTTACTATCTTATGCATACTTACATTCACCTCATTCTTTACCAGATTTGTTTCAACTTTGCATACTAATAAATGTATAAAAGCTTCAACCTCAATCACATTCACAGTATTTTCAAACCATATACCATTTCCTTACAAAACTTTTCACATCATAAGAACTTGCAGGTTTCTCACACAAACCCACTTGTAGCCATCTCATCTATACATTCAACAAGACGCATGTTTTTCTTACAACCTGGGCATTCATATTTTGAACAATTAAACCCTCATTCAATCACAGCTTTCTCACCCAAGAGTTTCAAATCTTTTAGACTAAAGAATGTGAGCTTTAAACACGAGGTGATCACCCAACATCTAAAGGCAAAATGAGACAAATTAGCTAAGAAACTGACTTGCAAAATATCCATGCAAACCAAAAAAAGTCCAATAATATTTAGGTTCTGCTAATATTTCCACATAAGCAATTAAGCCTAATGAAATGCTTATTAAGGGCAAAAATAAAGATTATTTGGCACTTGCATATCAATGCAATCACCTTCAAGTATTATGTGTTATGTGTGTATGTATTAAGTATCATGTGATATGTTAAAAAACAAAACACATTTTCCACCAAATCTTAATGTCATTTTCCTATGCGCTTCTTCTCCCCAAGTTCATAGCGATCTATTTTCATTTAAAAAGTAACAGAGAACGGCAGAGACCCGACATAGTGCTGATCTCGACAACACCAGCCATCTACCAAATGCACCTCCTCGTTGTTCCCTTTAGGCATTTTGCAACAAAATTCTCTGTTCCTGCAAAAATTTTACTGCAGTTTTTCCCATTGCTGGCAAATTCCACAAGCGTATATTTTAAAATTAAGGCAAAAAATATCATTTGTTGAGAATAAGTGCTTGAATCTGAAGTTTGAAGTTAGAACCTCCTGTCATTAAAGCTGCTTGCAAATGCCCATTAATAATGATCTATATTGCAATTTTACATACTTCTTTTTGGAAAATGTACTTCCAAATACAGATATAATCAGTAAGTACTCCCAAATACAGATATAAATCCCCATACATACAATTAAACTGTATGTATCTTCCAAAAGGTATTTATAGAAATGTGTTAGATGGATTTTTTTTTTTTTTTTTTTTTTTTTTTTTTTGTTGTTGTTGTCTTGTCCATGTATTTCATGGAAGAATGGTTGCCAAAGCCTCAAGGAGGTAGGCGATTTTTTTTAAACACTTATAAATAAGCACATCATCTTTTTTTCAGATCAGTCACTTTCAAATGAAGGTCTGGTGGAAGCTCCTCAATTGTACAATCAAAGAGATTTTGAAATATGAAAATCAGTGAAGCATTTGCTCAAACCCTGGTGTAAATGTAGTTAAGGCTCAGAAAATATATCCACCACAAAATTTTAGGGGAATGGGAATTTTGCTAATCTTTGAAAATTTTATAGTATGGAGAATTATTTAAAAATTTTTAATGTTATTTGTGGTTCAAATTTTCAGCGATATGGCTTTACAATAGAATATGTTTCATATATGAGCACTGTTTTTTTCCTGTAATTTTTTTTAATTCATCAAGATATCCTACAATGCAAATACTAATTTCCATAAACATTCCCTGTTTGATAAAGTAATTGTGGGCAGTTTTTCTCATTTCTATTACTTGTTTGAATTTTAAAAAATTCAATAAAACTTTCCCATTGCTGATGTATCAAACTGCTATACAGTGAAGCAAGTCAGGATATTCAGTTTTGATCTCTAATAAAATATAATGAAACTGACAATGGTTAAGCACAAGGCAGCGAATAAAATTAATCAATGATACAAATGATTCAACAGACATAAGAGAGATTGAGGTGTTTCCCATTAGGAGACTGCTCATGAATAGCACAGTGAATTACCAGAGGTTTTGAATGTTTATAGGTTTCTCTTTTGGTTAATAAATGATAAGTTGACTTTAGTTACTGCTTCATCATTATTTTATACTTTTATGAGAAAATGTGTTGTGATGAAGCATTCCATTTTAGCATGAAATTTGAAATCCATGAAATTTTAGCAATTGTTCATTTTCTGCAAGTTTTGAAAATTGAGTTGTGTGCTTATTTTGTTAATGACAACATATAATATTCTATATTCTTACATAATAAACATAATACAGGGTGGCCCAAGATAAAGTGAACTCAAAGCACTGGAAGACCATGCGAACTGTTAGGCAATATTATATGATAAACCGAATCAGATATGGGAGACTTCATTTGCTTTAATTTGGTTATCTTGACCATTTAATTATCAGACATAAAAATTAACAATCCATTCTGCTTTTACAGCACTTTGGTGTGCTAGTTGTTAGGAATGGACCACATTGCAGCAACCCTAACATAATCACATGGTAACACATCAAATGATAATTAGCAGCAACATTTGGTGCATTTGACAATATTTGCTGCAGCCAGGGATTATTAGCATGCATTATCAATGACTTCAATAATTTAAAAAAAAAGATATCAGAATGTTGAATAGACACAAATTTTCACTTTTCTTTTTGAGATTTGATATAGTAACTAGATCCATGATGACCGGACCTTTGTTTGCCAAAGCAATGCAGTGAAAAGCAGCATCTGAACTTCTATACTGCACAATGTCATAGTGGTCTAGCATAAAGACCACAGTTTGTGGTAGCATTACATTCATCCGATTCTTGACTTTTATGGATCATAAGCACTGTGCACTTGTAGCTCCTTTTCAATGAGACTATGTTACTGCCCATGCCACATATGCAATGTCCATCATTGCTTATGTTACCAATGTGTACAATTCTTCCCAAGCTTGTACAATTGCTCAATTGATCTCTCATTAATAACATGAAGATCTGACTGATAATATGTTGACCAACATGTAACCATTCAAATGTAGTACTGATACTTTGCAGAGACCATCCAACCAATATCGTGGTTGGTGATGTTGACTGCTATGCTAATGGACATCAGTTACTACAGTGGATCTATACCTGTATGACCAACGGTAAAGTGTCCCCCCTCCATTTCGACCTGTACCTGTTGCTTTGAAGGTATGTACAGAATTGGCATGGAATGATGCTCCACAAGCAGAGCATTCAAGTTTTTTATAATCCAGTGCAATCCATTACAAGGTGGGTAAAACCAAACTTCTATTGAATCACAGGCAAAACATTTGAGGGCTATCTGCCTACGATGAGTTGTCTTGTATATGCATTAAACATGGGGAAAACCATGAAAATGCCTATGCAGCCGGCCTGTTCATCAGGATTCGAATCTCATATCAAACTACCAAGTGTTCAATGACTTTAAGCACTTGGCCACTGGTAAGCCAAGATTGAGAGTGGCAAGTAAATCGAAAATGGTGTGCAAAGATCGAGCAGTGGAATCAAAAGAAACAACTCAATCGAACTGCCAACTCTTTGAAGGGTTGTGATATTATTGCAACTGTAGTTCTATGATACCTTAAAACTTCCTTTTTACACAGAACTAAAAACAAAATTCTAGAATTAAAAAAAAGTTCACAAACTTAAGAAATTATAAATATTATATTCATTTTTAACATGGAAGAAAAAATATTTTTTCTTTTCTAAAATGGAAATCAAATTTTTCTAGCATGCTTCCAACAAGAGCTCTCAATGGGTGAACTCTAAAAGAACTACCACTCTTCTTTGATGAATCTGTTCGCTCACTCAGTAAAACTTATTTGAATGAATCTGTGAGCGAATAGCTCATCTTTAATTATATAATCAATAAAGGTACACACACATAAAACTGAATTTATCATGTTCCATTTAACATGCAAATTTGTCATTTTAGTCTCTTCAATCTTATATGTTACTGTTCTCATAAATCACCTATATTGCAATTCATGTTCTTATTAGTGTTACTGTCGAATTCGACAGCCCTAAATTTTTTCTGATGTAAAAAAGTATTTTTTAAAAATTCATATTTGAAAATTTGACATGACAATAATATGTCATGACTATATAAAAGCCCCGCAACTTCACTAGTTACTTCTAGCATTATTGTATAGATTCTTAAATGACAGCTCAAGTAATTTGGGTCACATAGGGATTACCCCCCCCCTCCTCTGGCTAATTCAGCTATGGAAAAATATTTTTCATTGACATATTTCCATACAGGGCACATACAAAATTTTAAGTTTAATATGTTTTTACTAAAAGATGCAGTGATATCTGAAGTGTCATAAAGTCTAGCATGTTTATTTCTTAAACGGAAACCTATGTTCTTAAATTGAAGTCACTGATGTTTTATGGTATATTACTTATGCAATATTTTTTAATATGTTTCAGACTGAAGTATAAAATATAAAAAATTAATTTTTAAAGTTGTTATGGATCATTTCAGGACTGAATTTTTAATGAAAAGTAAGATGAATGCATGACAATAAAGAGAAAAATAAGTTGGAAAGGAACTAATAATAAATAAAATTTTAAATAATAGGTATTTTACAAATATAATATTTACATTCAAATATAATATTTTACAAATATAAATATAAATATTTACATTCTTATATTTTACTAAGTTTGATTACATACTTTGTATTTCAAAATAATGTCTTTTCTATTTAGAAAAACTCATGCAGCTTTTTGACCATTAATTCTTTTGGTATGTTCTGATTACCTGCAGGTGCAAAAAAGTAGTGATAACACACCATGACACCAAAAAGTATTTATGTGACAACGAAAAATGTTACCAAGCATTTATGTGAAAACCCAGGTATGAGTGTAGCAGCTTCCACACAACATTCCATTTTTTCAAACATTTTTACCAATGTGACTGCAGATTATGGTCTTGCCTATCAGAATTTCATCCTTTTAGCATAGCAATGGACTGTTTGCAGTTTTAATCATCTTTGGCAAAATATGACCCTTAGCTTTTTGAAAACATATAGCATAGTGTAGCTCACTTAAAGCATCGAGTCTTTCTTTTTTCTCCTCATTTTAGGATTTTTGTGCTGAGATGGCACACAACAGTGATTCTCTCGTTTAGTAAATAGAGATCACTGGATTAATGTACATGGGAACAATAACAGCACAAAAAACTAAGAAGTATGCAAGTTTTGTAAGAAAAAAGAATAATAATTTTAAAAAAAACAGGTTGCCTTGGATGCATCATTGAAACACATATAGATACCAAAACAAAGGGTTTGCTCCAAAGCTGGTAATGAGATTGCCAATGGTCTCCAAAATTGCCAATGCGTGTTTGCAGCTTTTTGATGAGTATGCAGATAATTTGATGGGTATATCATTATTTTATTAGCTATATGTTATCATTATTTTATTAGCTTTTTTTTTTAGCATTTAATCTTCTGTTGATCAAAAATAAATTTTGAACAATTTATATTTTCATATGCACACACACACACACACATATATATACTATATACATACATACATGTATGGAACACAGAATGTTTCATATAACATGCATAATAGACAATATTAGGTTCCTTATTACAATGGGCTGGAAATCAAAAAATCCTTTCTTTCTTTTTTTAATTAAGCTAGACCTTATTAAAAATTTCAAAATAGCATTAAAATATAATTAAAATTATTAATTTCAAAATGCCAGTAAAATGTGTCAGAAAAATGAGAACATCTTCCATGTGCTATGAATTGAATCCCCCTTTTTTCCCCTATACAATCTATTGCATCATATATCATCTAGACCAAATATGCAAAATATCATGTATACCAAAAATTTTTAATAATGTATAATAAAAAAATACAATAAATTAGTCCTCACATAAATAACTGTATAATTTTGGTCTTAATATGGTAATCTGGCATAAACAAGAAATCGAAGATCATGTAGGCTTTTCAAAAATAACGAAAAAAGGCAGTACAGAAATTTTAAAGGTATATATATGCCTCCTGATGAAAAAACATTTTCAACTTCAATGCGGAAATGAAAGCAAATATATTGTAGACATAATAAATTACCTACTGATGCGGTATTCAAATATCTTTTTATGATGCAAAAATTGAGTATTTAGAATTTGAACGCAATCACTAAACGTCTCAAAAATCAATTAATTCGAAACACTTGCCACTCAAAAGAAGTTAAACCTAATCTCATCTGATCTCTCTTAAGTTGAAATCATACGAGGAACAACGTCAGAAACTGCGATAGATAACCGATAAAATGTATGTTGTAAAACTCCGATAAAAGTTAAGTGCACTATCATTCTTTCCAGATAAGATAATATATTTTTTGCTTACTCCATATTGATAAAAAAACTGATTGGCCAAAACTTGAAAACGTCTTTCAGATATTTAAATTAATATCTATGGACAGAGATTAGCTTAACTTCACATCGTATTCGCGGTGACATAGAGATTCATTGCTTCCAGAAAGACCGCGCAAAAACTATGATGCAATTTCTCCCGCCAAAGTTTCAGTGTTGCCGCTCGTTTTAAACAAAAGTATTTTATGACAGAAACACGGTGAGCTCACCATCCAGTAATACATTCCGTATAAAAAAAGTGCAAATACACCTTATAGGGAGATTGTATTTCGCAATCCTGTGAATATTTTTCCTACGAATTTGAAGAGATACGATTGAAGAGCATCTCTTCAAATTCGTAAGAGATTTGAAGGCATATTTCTAGAAAATTCACAGTCTCGTCACAAGGAACTAAATCTGAATCTTCAGATATGCAAATTTTTAATATGCTGAATTCCATATCAACTGAGTGCTTAGAAAGAATGTCTTTGAATATTCGCAAGAATTCTGATCTTTTCGAGTACAAAAAGTCATGAAATGTTTTACACTGAGGGAGAAGGTCTACGCATAAAGATAAACACATTTTTCTGATTTCAAAGACAAAAGTTATAACTTCTAGAATTAAATATACGATACATCTACGAAATGTATTTGAAATCAAGATATGAAGAAAACAATTTATCACTTTTTCCCTGCTGCAAAAATTCTTTTCAATGCTATGCAAATCATAGCATGGCCAGAGAGATCTTCTGAATGCCATCATAGATTTAATTGTTAGATTGCTCTTTGCTTTTCTAGTTTTGTCTTGTGATCATTGGAAATAGTCCCAAAATATAAACTTTTGCGTCAGTTTCGGGAATTGCAAAAAGTGCACAGAAAGAGCCTACAACTAAATTCACTACCAGTTTTGAAGAGAAAGAAATAAAGGAGACAATTAAGAAAAGCTACACGTTTGGTTACAATAAACTGCTTGATGCTTGTTCTACTACGGCGAGAAAATGATAGTGCTTCTATCTGTTTTTTCTTGTAATTCTTAAGAGCAGATATCGACTGTATGAAATCAAACAAAAATTTCGTTTAAAGTTTTTTTGAAACGACAACACATCAGAAAAAAGAACGTATATATGTGATGCGTACACCTTCGCTGGGAGAAACTAAAAAAATCCGTACAAAAACTTAGTTGATCAAATTCACATCAAGTTCTCATTTAACAGCTTGACACTTACTTCATGACTACTTCCTAATCAAATACTTGTAATAAGAATACTTTATAAGGTATTTCTCCCGCCTTCTTAGCAAGCCTTCGTAGTGTAGTGGTCAGCGCACTCGCCGCGTATTCGAGAGGCCCGTGGTTCGAGTTCCGGCGTGGACATTGCTCATCTCTCCTGCTTTCAAAATACCTAATGTCTCTACACTAGCGCCCGAACTAAAAATGGTGGTAGACGATGATTCTCTACCATCTGGATTTGGCGAATGGGTTTCTTAATCCCCAATCGCCTTTTAAAAGGAAGAGTGTATAAGGTATTTCTCCCGCCTTCGTAGTGTAGTGGTCAACACGCTCGGCGCGATTTGAGAGGCCCGTGGTTCGAGTCCTGGCGAGGACATTGCTCATTCTTCATCTCTCGTGCTTTCAAAATGCCTAATGTCTCTACAACTTTAATCATAAAAATGAAGTGAAACAGAAATTAGGAAAATAATTATCATTTATTGCAAACAGCTACCTGTAGCTGACAAATCGAAATAGCGTAAGCAGAACTGTAATGTTGGCACTTTTTTATATGTTTACAACATCTCCACAGATAGATTTTAAGGTAACGAAAATTAATTGATTTACAGCTTCCAACAAAAATGGTTATAATATTCCACAAGGGTGAATACCTATGCCACGTCTAGAGACAGTGACAGTAATGAATTAGTAGCGACTTTCGACTTAGGGCCATGTTAGATGTCACTAGAATATAAAGGCAAAGTTAGAGTGAAAACTAAAATACTACCGTAGCAGGGTAAAATATAAAGAGATTGATGTAGTTTCTTACAATGGAGAATGAACTAATAAAAACAGGGAACACTTTTGAAAAAGTAAAGGAGATCAAAATTTGTTTTCAATACATATTATGCATTTAAGTAATTTAGATCAGTCTGAAAGCTAAAATAAAATAAGCAAATACAAATTTTAAAAGCAAGTTATGTATGTATATTTGTTATTAAATACTATTTTTTCAATAAATTTGGCTTTTTATGCATACAGCATGATAAGGTTTCCGGCATTCTCACTTGCACACATGTTTTGACTAATTTTGAAAAATTTTAAACAGAAAACGAATTAACATTTTAACACCTAGTAAGAACTCAGAATGTTTCGCCATTAATGCAAAATACATATCACCACAAATTTTTAATATATATATAACATTAATAAATGTACTCTTTGCTTCATTGGATTGTTGAAATTTATCAAGTGACAGGCGAAGCAATTGGAGTGTAATCAAGTTTAAATTTATTCTTCGTAAAAATTCCTCTTTGTGCTTGTCTGAGTAAGAAACCCATTTATACTTTAATAGTCTTGTTTCTTTTCATCACCGGTTCTAATCAGTGCTGCTAAATATGGTACCTTCAAGCTAGAAAAATTCCAAAACAAGCATCAACAACTGATCAATGATACGCCTATGTGATTCAATTAAAGGACCTAGATTTGGAAAACGACATTGTGGAAGATTGTCTGTCCTTACAATTCTTTGTCTTTCAGAAGAGCTGTATCAACGATAAGTTCTCAAATTATTATTATTCTGAGACTGTTTATATTTGTGGCAAATGTTTTAAGGAGAGAAAATGCAACCTTCTAAATTCTCTAATAACTTATATATGAAATTGTTGCTGAAGAGCATCATCTGTGTCGTTGAACGTGTCAACGAACATTAGGATTTTTTTTTTTGGAAGCAGAAAAGATGAACAATAGCAACCGCCTTCGCCGGGAATCAAACCACGGACCTCTGAAATACCGGCCCAGCGTGCAGAACCACTACACCACGAAGGCACGCTAGGAAGGTGGGGGAAATACCTTACAAACGGATTCATATTACTCTAAATGCTGATTCATAGAATCGTAAAGACAGTCAGACGACTTATCCTCTCATCTTATTTCTAAGTAGAATACAGGAAAACAAACACAGGCGACTATTTAAATTAAACAATTCATTCTTTTTGTTACATAAACTGAGCAGTAGCAAAAAATCTATTTCCACAGATTTCGGAAAATTCAGAAAGAAATGCAAATATAAGTATAAAATTAAAGTATTCAATTGCAAAGTAAAGCGTGTCTGCAAGCTTTGGCTCTTGATCTCAGACTATGACGTCCAAACAGCTAGCACATATAAAGCTGATTTAAGTAATACATTTGCATGGAGAAGATGTGACAACTGGCGATAACTTCCAAAAGTTCTCTCTCGAATTCAAGAACTCTAAGCTTAAGTAAAGTTATAATTTGCACGATAGCGGAAGCCAACGAAAGTAGAAGTGAAAGTTTATATAAAATAATAAGATACCGATTAATCAGTATAAGACCTACATTTTTTACTTTCGCATTTAACCAATAATCAATAGCTTTTCCCAAACTCTTCTGTTTCCTATCGATTTCTTGATACCTTATCTCTCTCGTTTGGAGATGAAATTTTGAAACAATGGGGTGTTTTTTCTTATATTATTCATGGCTTATATATAATTTTCTTTTACGACCTCACAAAGCCAGGATCTATATAGGAATTATTTCACTACTCGCTGAAAAGCGTTCTTAGCGATATTCTATTTTTTTATTTTTATTTATTTATTTATTTATTATTTTATATTTTTTTATTCAGGCCTATGGAGGGATGAAAATAAAACAACTACGTCTCATCCAGAAGTTCTAGAGTCACCCAGAAGTCTTAATCATCCAGATATAACCCAGAGTTCAGAGTTCATTTTAATTTCGTCATCTAGAGGTTCTATACGCTATTTCTCCCGCCTTCTTAGCGTGTCTTCATGGTGTAGTGGTCTGCATGCTGGGCGCGTATTCCAGAAGTCCGTGGTTCGATTCCTCGTGAAAGCGTTGCTCATTTTTCATCTCTCCGGCTTTCAAAAATTCCTAATGACTGTACAAGCGGGGCCCGAACTATAAGGGTGGTGGATGATGATTCTCCACAACCAGGATTTGGCGATTGGGTCCCCTAAAAACCCCAGTCGCTCTTTACAAGGGGGAGTATATAAGGTATTTCTCCTGCCTTCTTAGTATGCCTTTGTGGTGTAGTAGTCTGCATGCTGGGCCGGTATTCCAGTGGTCCATGGTTCCATTCCCGGCGAATGTGTTGCTCATTTTTCATCTCTCCGGCTTTAAAAAATTCCTAATGATTGTACAATTCTAAAGAGAGCGACTGCAGAGTAAAAGAGAGCATGGTAACGCTCACGAGAGCTGTCTACCTAAGGTGAGGAAGACCTTCGAGAAGGACTTTCTGAGGGAAACTAGCTCATATTCACGTTATATATAGAAACAACCACGAAAATCAACCATTTAGTCAGCGTGTTCGATCAGATTCGAACCCGGGAAGAAGTACCAACATTCAGTGGTCTTAACCTCTGGGTCACTAATGAGTCTCTTTGGTTTTATAACGAAAGACTAAATTTATATCACTCTGCCTAGATTAAAGATATTAATTATACTTAGGTAAGAGATAGAAATTACACGTTTTAGAAATGGTGAAAGGACTTCTCTCTTTAGAAACAACAATAAATCTGACACTGTTGACTCTGTGCCGACCTTTTGCTCCCTACTAAACTGTAACCCTAGATCTTGCGGTATACACTTATATAAAATAGGAAGTAAAAGATTGCCATAAGAATTAAAA